GTAGTAGTAGTAGTAGTAGTACACTCTTCTTGAAACTTGAGCCTCCATTCCAAGGGCTAGACCGACCAGGCTGTGCGACCGATTGTCTATGGTATTCTAAGTACTAACCCTAGCCCGTTTCTTGGAGCTATCCAACTTCCAAGGGCCTGTGGTCGTATTGAGAACTCGTTCAAGTGACTCGATCGGTGCCTAGAAGCTCGGATCAAAGACCAGTGGATGCTATATTTATTATAATTTAAAATATGCACACCTTCTCTTTTACTAGTATAGTGCAAACCTTGTAGTTCCTACCTTATTCTACAATCATAACTTCGCCAAATAACCGGGAGACAGCTTTGCACTTAATTTAGTACCATGTTGGAAGGTAAAACCCGCATGAGTCCGGTCACCGAGTTAAAGTATCACGGTTTATTCGCCCGGTCACCATTCACATGACCCAACGCAACTGAGCACGTATCTGCAGCAAGAATATATTGTATGCTTTGATCAAAGAATTATAATTATATCCTAATATATCATATAATACTTCAATATGACATATACATGCGTCGGTCGCGCTGAACAAGGAACAGCATATCTAGACCAGTAAACAGGACCAGTAAATACTAAATTGTGTTATAGCAATTCTAAAAGAGCGTGAGAATATAAAACCGCGTGGGACACAATTTATTGGTCTATATGAGATGTAGGCCTACTGCCGTAGAGGTACCGTACAACTCATAGACACACAACTATTATTATGTCTTTGAGTAATATATATGTTTAAAGGATTTGTGTCGAGCTTTTAAATGTAAAAATAACCCAATCACAGTTGAATATATTACAGATATATTCATATTTTTCTAGTATTTGAAATAATCTGTCAAAATCATCAAGCAGTAATAATAATTTTAATTTCTACATAGGCCTAAAGGCTATCATATGCGAAATTACGGCGCTCTGGGCTGTGGGCGATCACTCACGCGTGACATCACATCTGTCCTACCACTCTCCCCCGCAGCAAGATATATTACGTACTTTTATTTAGGCCGTACTCCACGTCTGAAACGGTGCTCGCGCATGCGCAATATTTCCAGAGAAAAAAATATTTTGCGAAACATTATAAATTTAAAATGAAGAGGGGTTATTCCAGCATAGATTTCTATGATAATATATCTCATCAGTAGACCTCACTTCTTGAATAGGAAGCAGACCTTGCATGTAAGGTACCGGCTACATATACCAGTCAGTACAAAATCTGGCTACGTTAATGTTTTAGCGCATGCGCAATATCTTACCAGAGGATTTATATTTTGTGCTGAAAATGCATTTAATATGGTCAGGGGTATCTCAGCATAGGTTTCTGTAATGAATTCTTATTAGTAGACCTGTGTTTATAATTAGGAGAGCGCCCTGGCCAGTAGGGTGCGAAACTACTACTTCATTCCCGCCCGCCCTTCCCACCGTCTCCCTTGTCGCACGCTCAGCCTCATTCTTCTTCCACTGCCTCTTGGCTGTCTTCCCTGCCACCTTCCCTCAGTCTCCCACCCCTCACTCCCGCGGCAAGCTATATTACGTACTTTTATTTAGGCCGTACTGCACGTCTGAAACGGTGCTTGCGCATGCGCAATAACTCCCAAGAAGAAGAATGTTTTGCCAAAATTATGAATTTAAAATGAAGAGGAGTTATCCTAGCATAGATTTCTGTGATAACATTCCATCAGTAGACCCCACCTCAGAGATCGGAGGAACACCTTGCATGTAAGGTCCCTGCTGCATATAACAGTCTGTACACATTCTGGCTACGTAGGTGTGTTAGCGCATGCGCAATATCTCACCAGAGGAGTCATATTTTGTGAATATAAATTCAGTATGGTTAGGAGGTATCTCAGCATTGGTTTATGTAATAAATTATTATCAGTAGACCTGTGTTTACGATTAGGAGAGCGCCCTAGCCTGTAGGGTGCAAAACTCCTACTTTATTCCCTCAATTCCGTCCCCTTGCCTCCCTTGTCCATCGCTCAGCCTCCTTCCTCTTCCACCGCCCTCAGCTATTTTCTCTGCCGCTTTTCCTCAGCCTCGCGCCCCTCTCTTCCTCAGCAAGCTATATTATGAAGTTGTCTTCAGTCCATACTGCACGCCTGAAACGATGCTCGCGCATGCGTAATTGCTACCGAGAAGAATATTACTTTGCAAAAATGATTCATTTAAAATGGAGAAGAGTTATCCTAGCAGAGATTTCTGTGATAACATTCCATCAGTAGACCCCACCTCAGACATCGGAGGAAGACCTTGCATGTAAGGTCCCTGCTGCATATAACAGTCTGTACACATTCTGGCTACGTAGGTGTGTTAGCGCAAGCGCAATATCTCACCAGAAGAGTCATATTTTGTGATAATTATACATTTAATATGGTTAGGAGGTATCTCAGCATAGGTTTATGTAATAAATTATTATCAGTAGACCTGTGTTTATGATTAGGAGAGCGCCCTAGCCTGTAGGGTGCAAAACTCCTACTTTATCCCCTCAATTCCGTCCTCTTGCCTCCCCTGTCCCTCGCTCAGCCTCCTTCCTTTTCTACCGCCCTCAGCTATTTTCTTTGCCGCTTTTCCTCAGTCTCGCGCCCCTCTCTCCTTCAGCCAGCTATTTTATAAAGTTGTCTTCAGTCCGTATACTGCACGCCTAAAACGGTGTTCGGGCATGCGCAATTGCTACCGAGAAGAATAATATTTTGCAAAAATTATTCATTTAAAATGGAGAGGAGTTATCCTAGCAGAGATTTCTGTGATAACATTCCATCAGTAGATCCCACGTCAAAAATCGGACGAAGACCTTGTATGTAAGGTCCCTGCTGCATATAACAGTCAGTACGCAATCTGGCTACGTCAGTGTCTTAGCGCATGCGCAATATCTCACCAGAGGCGTCATATTTTGTGATGAATATGAATTTAATATGGTTAGGGGGTATCTCAGCATAGATTTATGTAATAAATTATTATCAGTAGACCTGTGTTTATGATTAGGAGAGCGCCCTAGAATGTAGGGTGCAGTTTCCTTCAGTCCGTACTGCACGCCTGAAACGGTGCTCGGGCATGCGCAATTGCTACCGAGAAGAAGAATATTTTGCAAAAATTATGCATTTAAAATGAAGAAGAGTTATCCTAGCATAGATTTCTGTGATAACATTCCACCAGTAGACCCCACCTCAAAAATCGGAGGAAGACCTTGCATGTAAGGTCCCTGCTAATTATATCAGTCATTACACAATCTGGCTACGTAGGTGTGTTAGCGCATGCGCAATATCTCACCAGAGGAGCTATATTTTGTGCTGAAAATGCATTTAATATGGTCAGTGGGTATCTCAGCATAGGTTTCTGTAATAATTTCTTACCAGTAAGCCTGTGTTCATAATTAGGAGAGCGCCCTAGCCAGTAGTGTGCAAAACTACTACTTCATCCCCGCCCGCCCTTCCCTTTGTCTCCCTTGTACTCAGCCTACTTCTTCTTCCATCGCCCCTCGGCTGTCTTCCCTGCCACCTTCCCTCAGTCTCCCACCCCTCGCTCCCGCAGCAAGCTATATTACGTACTTTTATTTAGGCCGTACTGCACGTCTGAAACTGTGGTCGCGCATGCGCAATATCTCCCAAGAAAAAGAATATTTTGCCAAAATTATTAATTTAAAATGAAGAGAGGTTATCCCAGCATAGATTTCTATGATAATATTCCATCAGTAGACCTCACTTATGAAATAGGAAGCAGATCTTGCATTTAAGGTCTCCGCTGCATAAACCAGTCAGTACACAATCTGGCTACGTTATTGTTTTAGCGCATGCGGAATATCTCACGAGAGGAGTTGTATTTTGTGCTGAAAATGCATTTAATATGGTTAGGGGGTATCTCAGCATAGGTTTATGTAATAAATTATTATCAGTAGACCTGTGTCTATAATTAGGAAAGCGCCCTAGCTAGTAGGATGCAAAACTACTACTTCATACTTGCACGCCCCTCACCTTGTCTCCCTTGTCGCACGCTCAGCCTCCTTCTTCTTCCACTGCCTCTTGGCTGTCTTCTCTGCTACCTTCCCTCAGTCTCCCACCCCTCGCTCCCGCAGCAAGCTATATTACGTACTTTTATTTAGGCGGTACTGCAAGTCTGAAACGGTGCTCGCGCATGCGCATTATCTCCAAAGAAGAAGAATATTTTGCCAAAATTATTAATTTAAAATGAAGAGGGGCTATCCTTGCATGTAAGGTCCTCGCTGCATATACCATTTCCCTTAGGCGACAGGTCGCCGACATTTTCTCGCCTTATCCCTATAAATTGATATAGCTAGAGACCTTCCGAAGACCAGTGCCACCATATTGAAGTAGCGAGGGGGAAATTTGCGGTGCGCACCTTCTGTATTCATAGCACACTCATGATGAAATGTTTAACGTCGGCTCTACGTCATTTCCTCTGGGCGACAGGTTGCCGACGTGTCCGCGAACTATCCCCGTACATTGGTATAGCAAGGGACCTTCCACAGAACAGTGCGTCATCTTTGCGAGATCATAAGGCAATTCGCGTTTAACATTATTCGAGTATGGAGAGCAAGCCAAGCTCTATAACACACATGCTATCAAGCCAGATGATCATAGTAGACATCAAGCTACAACTATAAGCACCGCTACGTTACGACTGCGACTGCGCATGCGCTTATTCATTGATAAAACTACCCGCTTAACGGTTGCTATGGCGACGCTCCTCATCCTTTCTTGCAGCAGCCGTGACGTCGGTGGGAAGGATCAATCAATGTTTTCCCCCATCGTGGATTATACGTTATTGTACGCACTGGCGGTGCACAACACGGCAGTGTCGGCCATTCTACTCTAATAATCTAACTGCGAACATCGTTTTCATCCGTGTTGGGAACATGGCGTTAACGTGGGCTGTGATTCTAGCCGTGGCTGCTATGGCACTCGCGACTGGAATGACGCTGCCCACACCAGACAAGCAACTGGTGATGAACGAATTGGAAGAGCTCATCGAAAGACTTCAGGTAAAATGTCGCACCATATTGTTGCACGATTCGCATCTTCTATCCTAGAGTGGAGCCTCGGTATGTTCTCACACACAGTATATGCGAGTATCCGGTCGTTTATCTGCGGTTTTAGTTTTTCTGGATGGCAAAATGTATGCTGAAGTTAGCGAAT